AAGTGACGAAAAATGGCAAAACTCAAATATGAATTCCTTGAAGAGAAATAATATATTAAATGAGTTTGAGTTAAATGGGCGTCAATAGACATTTATTAGAAATTTTAATAGGAGGCCAAATTATATATATATATATATATATAGGAGATGGATGGACAGAAATGAGAGGGGGAAGTGCAGGACAGCAGGCGTAGAAAAGAAAAGCCAGGAAAAAGAAGAAAGAAAGGTGAAAGAAAGGAGAAGAAAGAGAGACGGAAAAGACAAAAGAAGAAGAAGAAAGGAGAGTAAAAAAAAAACCGTAGAGAAAGAAAAAGAAGAAAAAGTAGAAGAAAGAAACTGTAAACACCAAAAATTTTCACGTTTCGTCAATTTTTGGTGATATCTTTCCACTTTTGCGCGTTTTTATTTTTACAATATGAATAACTAATTTTTATATTAGGGAAAACAATTTAGTCGACCCATGATCCTTTATTTTTTTTATTCAAGATTTTTGTGATTTATTTATTTATTTCTGTGTTGATTTTATTATGAGTTTAATTCATTAAATAATCTGATCAATAATTTGATAATAATGTGAGTCTCTTACGAATCGAGAGGTGAGTTTGAGATTTAGACCATATAATAAAATTCGATAAATTAGTATACGTGAGAGATACATATACTAATTATTGCGGTCATAATATGAATTCTTATAATCAGTGTTTCATTTAACTAAAGTTGAGTCACATAGAGATATAGAATTAAATTAGTTAAATAGGCTCAATGTGAACTCGAGAAGGGTAAATTGAATACAATAGAAGAATTCGATCGAACACTACATTAGATTATGAATCTTGAATTAAGAATAAAAGTGATCAATAGATGAAATTATTTTGCCATAATATCCATCACATATTTGTTTCTTCAATTATTCATTGTTTGCAATAATTTTATATTTTCCATTAGTTAAAAATGGTTAGAAAGAATAATTACAGCTATCATAATTATTTATTTGCTTTTGTCAAATAGGAGTTAGAAAAATTAGATTAAGAGCATGTTTGGTAGGGTTTAAAATTCAATTAAAATTGAAAATATAGCCGTTATTGGGTCTCACTCGTCTAATAAAAGTC